ATTTATACAAACGGGCATACACACACACTCACACACACACAAGTACACATGCACACACATACATGAGCACACACACACACACTCTTACACTTACACTTACACTTCCAGTCACACACATTTACACTTATACTCACACTCATACGCATACTTTCACTTACACACACACTCACACTTTCACTTACACTCTAACTTCCACTTCCACTCCCACTTCCACTTCCACTCACAATTTCACACACACTTACTTTTGCTTACACTTACACTCATACTCATACTCACATTCATAATTACATGGACATTTACATGCACATTCTCATTCACACCCACACTTACACTCATACTCATATTCATATTCATACATACACACACTCACACACACACACACACACACACACACACACACACACACACACACACACACACACACACACACACACACACACACACACACACACACACACACACACACACACACACACACACACACAAACAAACACAACAAACAAACACAAACTCAAACAAACACATAGTAGATACACATACACATACATATACATGTACGTATATGTATACATATATGTATATATATATATATATATATATATATATATATATATATATATATATATATATATATACATATACATATATAAATATACATACACATACAAATGCATATACATATTTATGCATATACATACCTGCAGACTTTATTGTTTTTAAAAGGTACAGTATTTTCATTTACTTTACTTTACTTTTTTTTTTTTTTTTTTTTTTTTTTTTTTTCGAAAAAAAAATGTAGACATTGCACTCTTAGAGTAGTAAAGTTAGACTGTATGCATAACCTACCTGTGACCTTGTTTGACTCTCCACCCCGACTCGACTGCTTTGTGCTTCTTAGACCGATAGTATTGTTTGGGATACTCAGTTTCTGGTGTGTTACTTGCTTTAGTGTGGTATTATCCCTTTTACATATATTTGTTAGACTTGCATGCCTACTATTCATTTCATCTACCTTTTCATTATACAGAAAAAGTATTCTCCTCAACCTTTTGCACTCCATTCATTCAGTTATTCTTTTTCATTTCATTCTCTCCACTCCTCTTTACTTTTTTCACTCCATTGATTCAATTATCTATTCCTTTCTCATTTCATTCTGTCCATTCCTCTTGCCTTAACTCTTATCCCGCCACTTGTTAAGAGTCCTTGATCCCCCCAGATACCGTTAAAACGTGCAATATCCAGCGAAAGCGGATTTAATTTCTCCGTAAGTACCCCTCCTGTATCCCAATGTGTGTCCTCCCATGTCTGTCATTCTTGTGTCTGTGCCCCTGGTCCTTGTCCTCTTGAAACCTCCTTATGGCTTTGTTTATGCAGTTGGTGGTTATGCAGCATATTTTTCTTCAATTATTAAGATATACAATTATTTTTGTTTTGTTTTTTACTCCATTACAGTACCCATTACCCCTTACAGCTCCTCCTCTTTATGCATTTCCAAACACAGCTTCTTTAGTAATGTATCTTGGTAGAGATTTTATGTTTTACCAAATCATCTTATATTGTGAAATGTCCTCTTATATCCTTACCTCTTCCTTATTCTACCACATTGTTCTTGCCTTACATTATATAATCTAAGCCAGGTTTTTGTGTGTGTTTCTTGTTCTTTTCTCTTTCTCCTTCCGTGTCACTTCCCTAACCTTTGTTGATGTCTGTCCTGTTACTATTCTCTTCTGTGTATATTTGTGTTAAGTTTCTTCACACTTCATTAACCACTTTTGTATCAACCATTTGTTTTATCAGTTTTTCTTCTGTTGGATTCATTATTTTTGATTGTTTGAAATTCACTCTACCTTTTATAATCTTATCATTTTTAAACATATCTGTCTTATTTATATATTTTTTTCTCCATTTATTGTTCCAATCTTTGATTTATAACTCTTAAAATACTTCCATAGTGCTTTTGAACATAAATATAGAAGGTAAGCATTCAAAAAAGATTTGTAACAGGGATATTACTCTCTGCTTACATAACACAACTGAAAAAAGGAACATTAATTGAGGTAGATGTTAAAAAGATCTAGCCATTTGCATATGTTTTCTCCAAAATTTCTAGTTCAGTTTTATTATAGTACTGAATAGTGTCAGAGACTTTTTAATGCCACTCATTGTGTTGTTGATACTGCATTGGCTATACTAAAATATAAATTTTATTGATGTTAATAATAACCAGCGCTAAAAAAGTGTAAGCATCAGTCATCTATTACATTTTTGCAAAGATATATTTGTTTTAGTTGAACAGCCAAGGAAATATCTTTACCTACTACTATTGCTGCTGTTATACTTTGTTCATGACTTTTTATATAACCATGAGAGATATAAGCCTCATTTATGGAAAATTGTATAATGAAGCAATTTTGAATATTTATTTAAATTTTATACATTTTGCAAGTAATGCTTGTGATTTGTGTCTTGTCTTGCTTTATTCAGGCCTATAGCTTCAGTCATTACATATGTTCTTTACATATTGCTTTCAGCATTTGCATGATATACTTATACTATATCAGCATATCAGCTGCTTTTCAGCACAAAATATTTACAGTATACCGTGCTTTAGCTTGTGTAGCAATGAACAACCCTCTTTGATTTATGGCCTAGAACACAAGACTTTACAAGCCTCATTATTATTGCTCCCATACCTTTGACAGATTCCTGCTAATCGTCGCATGTCATCAGAGAGCGGTCTAAGTTCCTCCCAGAACCTTAGAAGAAATAACAGCAAGAGTAGCAGGAGAACTCTCAGGCCTTCGGATTCTGTTGCTTCCAGTATAGGCTCTAATCTCAATAGGGTTGGGGGTGCTCAGGATCTAACAAAGGTATATGATTATGTGAATAGTGTGGATAGCATTTTGGAAGTATATGAATTCTCTCATATGCATATGGTAATTTGTCAAATTACTTTTTAATATTTACATGTAACTTTTTTCTCTCTCAGGTGTTATTAACAGATGATTACTTTAGCGATATAAATCCGAGATCAATGCGAAGGTTGATGAATGTTGTGTACATCACTGGCAGGTAAGAAAATTACTATTTCATTAGTTGTCTTTATAGATTGAACACTAAGCATTCTATCCTATTCCACAGACTGGAAAAAAATCAAGTAAAGAATTTATTTATTTATTTATTTATTTTTTACCATCCATGTCTGTAGATTATTTCTTGTACCAATGATTGCAACTTTTTGTCCTCTACATAAAAAGAAGTATTGAACCATTTTTAAGTGTGATAGATGATAGACTGATTTATTCCACAGGTTGTTAAAGGCATTCCACATAGATTTCAACTGGTATCACTTAGCTTCATGGATTAATATTACTGAGCAATGGCCATACCGTGCTTCATGGCTCATCCTGTTCTATGAGGCTAATGAGGACACCCTAGATGATAAGTGTTCTCTCAAGGATCTCTTTGAAAAGTGAGTTGTGAAATCTCTTATAATGCCAGCAAATGTGTCTGCTGTTTTCTTTTTTGTGTATTACTTAAGCCTGAAGGATTTATTAACAAACTCCATGTGTTCGTGTTACAGAATCAAGAACCAGGTTCCAAACTCCAAGGAAGTTGAGCCTCTCTTGGAGATGGACAAAGAGGAAAAGAAATTTGAAATCTTTCTCTCTATGCACAAAAGTTCCTTACATGTATCAGACCTCAAAGTCTTCCTTCCATTCACCATTAACCTGGATCCATTCATTAGAAAGGTATGATAATTTAGCACCTCAAACATTGTCATTTTTTCAATTCTTTGAATTAATGTTATTGATTACTTTTATCACACACAAAAAACTTTACAACCATTAATATTCATATTTTATTTTTCTTGATGCTTCTATTAATCTTTGATTGACTTTCCAGGTAATCAAGGAGGATCAGCCACAATTTGATGACATGGGACCACAGTTCACCGCCAATCCTACTAGTCCTTGGTCCTTCCAACAATATGACCCACAGAGTAAAGTTACTACAACTCCAAGAAGACCAGTAAGAGCCTCATTTTTAAGTATATATAGGATTTCTTAGGGAATGTTTATGTTGCTTTGATAAAAAGTACACCTTTTCAGTTTATTTTCTTCACTTATTTAGGATATTGCATTCATTCCAATGATGTCATTCTTTTTCTTTTTACTCCCTACTCACAAATATGTTGATTTATACAGGTAAGAGGTAATCAGAAGAACTCTACAGCCACCATGCCACCCATGAATCCACTCATGTGGGGTTATGGTCCACCATTCCTTCCTTCCATCCAGTCAGCCCCATCAGTTGATTTCAACCCTGTTCCCATGAATATGAACACTGCTTCAAATACTGCCAGTTTACCAGTAAGTCCAAATACATTCAAGTTGGTGTGATTTCAAGTATTTGACTGAATATGTGTTTTAAAGGGTTGTTGCTCAGAAAGTCTTCAATATATTTTTTTGTGCTGTGCTTATGTATGGGTTTGTGAAGTGGTTAGATTGTATTTATAAAATATTTTAAACAAATGTTGATACGGAGTGGAAGAAAAGGAATTTATTAGAATTTATTTACATTTTCAATATAATCTTTTCATATTAATTTTGTTTTCATATCTCTTTTTTTGTTTACTAACTGATGATTTTTCTTCAGCCTGAAGCTGCAGATAAAAAGCTCTCCAGCTTGTCCATTGAAGGTTTGTTTGAGATATTCAGCAAGGTGGAAGGTGTTTCCACAGGCATACTGCCAGCCTACAAAGAAAGATTCATTGAGCATAATATCAATGGAAAAGTTCTGCTGCATTGTGATCTGGATGACCTGAAGAAGGTAAGTAAAAGATCTAGTAGGGATGGGCTTATTTTGAAAGCTGTATAAAGTATGTAGATATTAATAAATCATGAAACAAAGAGATGATTTCCAATAGAAAATAAATAAAAAGATTAGTAAAGAAATATTGATATGGAAATATGATTTCCAGTTTTTCAGTCCCCACCTCAACTCCCCCCCAAAAAAAAAAGATAAACATAACATAATCTGATTGTTAAATTTGATCCTATTTTAGGTTTTGCATATGAATTTCGGAGACTGGGAGTTGTTCCGTGTTCTGGTGCTTGGCTTAAGGGAGCGTGAAGCAGATGAGGAGTTTATTGCTAAAAACGTCAGATTCGCTGATACGCACATTCAGCGGAATAATTCTCAGGATCTAGAGGACAACGCAGCTCCGAGTAGTCTGTTGAGCTCTTCCAGTGGTGAAGGTTCTCTCATGCGAAGGGGTAATGTCACCCAGCTCTAGCCATTTGTGCTGTTCGTGTTGGGTAGTGTAATCACCTTTAACATCACCAAACTCATTTCACGAGTCTTGATTGTTTACCAGTGGTACTAACTGGCTCCACTTCTTTGCTGTTTTTTTGTTGGTATCTTGTACAGTGTTGCCATACGCCTTGTTTTTTTGTGTGTGTGTGAGCATCTGTGTTATGTTTACTTCACTGTTTGCACTAGCACTTTGCATTTCTTCTCTATGACATTTCAGTACTCGCAAAAAAAAAAAAAAAAAAAAAGGTATTCTTTATTAAATTTACCTGCAAATTTTTATCTTCTGTTGTTCTGATGTTTATCAATTGAAAGATTATTCCACTCTAAGAAATTTTAACTGCATATTCAAAGTAAATTCCACAGTAAGTTATGGAAACATTTTGTTAATTGTTATATCAGTTGCTGTGAATTTTCTGTCATCCTGCTTCTCTAGCTTGTGAAAATTATTAACCTTACTATTCACAAGTTAACCTAAGATACATACTTAAGAGTAGTTCTATTTAAGTGCAAATGAGATGTGTGAAAGAGCACACGTGCCTCCGCTTGTGATACTTCATTTAGATAATAGGGTTTGAGAGTTCTATCGTTCCTCAATAGTGCAGAATTTTAAACTTCAAATAATAGCTTGAAGAGATTAAAGTGAAGTCAACATGATATTTATATAATCAAATCACCTTGTGGACAATTTTAGTGATTCATCTGTATATTTATCCCTTTCTTCTCTGTGTCTGTAATATACATATATAATGTAATTCTTCTCTCTGTCTGTATATATATATGTAGATAGATACCTTGGTAGACATGCTCATTACCTTTTTGTATGACTTCCTTTCCGTCTTGTACAGTATGTTTTAAGATGTTTTGTCTGTTCAACCAAACGCCCAGAAGCTCAGTTATTTAAGAGCAAACGGAAAGTATTATGAAGTCCAAATGAATAATATATTGCATTTGCTTTGGGTATTATTTCTGGAAGAGAAACTGTAGTGAGATCTACAATATTTTCTAGTCCTGCTCTAATTGTACAGTAGTCTTCCTGTAGATAGGCTTATCTTCCTTTTACATGTATATGCATATTTTTCTACTTTATATATACACAGACTCATGTGATTATTCGTATTATGATCTTTTCTTACTCTATTCTAAAGAATTGAGTTGTAGTTTTCCCTGTTATCTGTAATTACAAAATAAAGGGACCTAAATGCTTCCTTCTTTTCCATTGCCCTGGAGACCTCTGCACTGAGCAACCTTTTTTTCTGTTGGCAGATAGATTATGCACGGGACTGGTAACCTCAGCTTAACTAGCTAACTGTCACTGATACTGATCATTAACATTTATAACTCCCTATTAACTCTTTGTATTATAGTTATTTACTAAGTAATATTTAACAATATTTTAATTTTTTATGTAAGGTTGTGGACGTAAGTGTGCCAATATGTTTAATCGTTAGAAAGTATTAGAGGTGATTGGTTCCCTCATAAGAATGAAAATGGTTGTATATTACTGATTTTTAGACTTGTGACCTGCGACTTCTGACTGGCATTAACTAGTAGAATCTTTTTATTTCATATGTTTACAGTGAATATCATGCAAAGTAAAGTTCTTCTGCTAATAACATACAGATAACCATTTCTTGGAAGTCCTTTGTGGGTTGTCGTTTACCTTTTGTTATGACTGATTTTGACTTTTTCTGACCTCACGTGACTTCCCTTTAGGGTCAAGTCGGGCGTCATCCACCATGAGCAGTAACAAGGACAGAGAAGACCTTCATGGATCAGTGCGAAAAGTTACAAAGCAAAATCTCCTAGCAAAGCAGGTACGTAACGTCGATGTAGTCACCCCTACACAAGGCTGCTACTGCTCCATTTCATCAACCAAGCGTTGTTTACACTGCTTATTTACCTCCAAATTATCTGAGAAAGTAGATCAAGTTCAGCTGGGAGCTCCTCCACCTGGTGGTAGAGAACAAAATGATTTCAAGGACCAAGTAGATCAGAGTGATGCATTTCTATACTAGAGAAAGATTTTATATGATTCTGTAATGGAACTCATCCTACCTATAATTAGTGTTAATTGCCATAGTTTTAGATTGTTGTTTTGCAAGTAATATCCTTGACCTCAGTATTATTTATTATATTGATACTATTCTGTTGATTAATGACAGGGAATGGAGCAGCTCCCTAGTTTTATAGGAAAGACTGTTTTATTGCTCAGTTATTTTGTTGTGTTTCTTGTAGTTACTTGTTTTCATATATTGAAATAATGATATTGTCTGGTAGACATTTTGCAGTTTTTTCTTGTTAAGTAAACTTTTTTGTAAGTGCACCATTTTGTAGTTTCATTTTGTTTAAGGTCCATGTTGAATTTGCAGCATATACAAAGAAACCACTGTGTAATGATATGATTATTCAAGAAAAAATATAAGAAAATATTTGAAATTTTCACTTAGATTTAAGATATCCGAAAATCACCCATGCTGCATATTCTGACAGATCTTAAGTTATTAAAAGTTGCTTTTGGCTAGTAAGCATTGTAGATTGCAGAGTGACTGGCAATTCATCTTCATTAAGGGTTGACAGAATGCTTTTTTCGCTCTTCTATCTGTTTGTTGATATATCCCTGCTAAATTTGCTTTAATGTAAAAGGTCTTGCTGAATCACTGTTCTCCACTACTGTCAGTATTTAATTCTTTTGCATTGTGAATATGGCCTACATTTATGCTGGTTGTTTTTATACTTGCTGTTCATAGTCATAATCTTATATTCTGTGGAAAATTTTCAGCACCTATTTTTCATCTCTGTTTTAATGCAGTTTGCTGCCAGTGCACGTTCTTGAATCAGAGATGAAAATGTCACTTAGATTTATCTGATCTCCCCAAAAATGAAGTATATCCCTTTCCTGTTGCTCTTTCCCTGATTGTTTTCGCAATTCACTCTTGTACCATAATGGAAATGGCCTTATGAATCCAGTCCAGCTTGAATATGATAAGCAAATAGAAAAGTATAAGGAATTTGAAAGAGTCTCAGAGAGAAATGTAACTAAGAGAAGATTTTATGTGATGTTGCATGTTTGCGGATGCACAGATGTGACCAGCCTTGGACATTGGTATTCTGTAAAGAGTGAGACTTCTTAAGCTGCTAAGGATACCTGCAAGCTGGGCATTGTTGCATGTGTTTATTTGCATGGTTTGTTAAGAGTTAAGGCTTGTATATATTTCTGACCAAATGTAGATGCAGTACTCTAATGGGAAATGCTTGGATGTTTATTTGTTTCTGATTAATTCTGAAAGGTGCTTGAATTAACTTATAATTTGGTAAGTCACAAAGAGTTCAACTCATAAATATATATTGACTACATGGTGTACATATTGTACTGATGAATCTGACCATTCCAAAGACTGGCAGAAAAAAAACACTATGCACAAAAGAAATTTATTAGGAGATGAGACTGGTGTATTGTTGTTTTTTATGACATTATGTCAACATGTGTTTTGGCATTCATTATAGAGACTGCATGTGTGGCTTGAAATATTTATGAATTCCTGAAATTTGGTGGTGGTTTGGTCTAACAGAGCTCTGAAATTTTCCCTCTACTTAAGAAAATAAAAAAATACTTATGAGATCTTTTACAACTGCTACACAAAAGTGCCAGTATTTTTTAAGAGAGTAGTATTCTGGAAAATTCTTCATTGGAGACTAGCACAGCATGTTCCTGAACACAAGCTTTCTTGGTGATGGGTAGAAAGAAGATACATAAAACACACACAACTCAAGGGTTTGTTAAACTGGATTTGTAGGCATCGCTCAATGAGGCGTACCAGGCATCCGACACTGAAGAAGATCATCACTTTACACCAGTCAAAGAGAAGCAGCTGTGGGTCTAACAACGGCAGCTGTGACAAGATGAACATCAACACCGGGAGTGGGTCTAATAACCAGAAGCTCTGCTTCAAATGTGTGTTCATGTTTGAAAGTGGTTGTGGTACAAGTATGAAATGCTGCTGTATGAGTGGATTCGACTGCGACGAAACTTCCCAACAAGACGGTAGATTACAAGAGACATCTGAACTGAATTACTAGTTTTGATCTCAATGTACAGTTCACAAGTTAATTATTATATATGTTGTGGTGTTCAATCCCTGTGATGGTGAGCGGACGAGAAGTCAGTCTGGAGGCCAGTGAACTCGACCCCTTTCTTGGACTCCTTGCGAGATACTGCAAGCCACTTGGGTTCTGCACAGACTACAAACGAGGTTCACCTGGGCTCAGCGTGGGACCAGCGTTCATCGTGCTGTATTCTTTTCTGCTGGATTCCTTTTTAAATCCAAATGTTAAGTTCACAAAGATGATGGAAACATCATATTAATAATGTGATAATGAAGTTTATTTACAAAATCCCTTTCTATTTGTGATTGTATAATTTGTATGGGATCATTATTGAAGTCTGGATGCTGAAGCATTTATGTGATTATAAGATTTAATTTTCTAAATCAGTTCACAAGAAGTATTTTCTGAGAAGTGCTGTTTCTGTGTTTGTATTTTGTATGTGAAGCATTGTTTATACCAACTTGTCTGTTGTTACCAATTGTTACCATAATTTTATTCACAATAGCTGTGATATTTGATGTAATTATATCATTCCATACATTCTCATTGTGATTAATATATATTATTTGACTAGTAATTCTGTTTATACTTCAATTTTTTATCCTATTGTTTAGTTTTAGTCAATGAAAATAATGCAATCAATTGAAAATAAAACATTATTAAGAGTTTGTTTTCCTCCAGACTTTGTCCTTAAGGTTTTGAAATAATGATCATATCCACTTACCTTTCTTTACCTTTCACATGGAAAGACAAGCTATGTGAAATGAAGATTAAAAGCTCTAAAAATTAAAAAGTTTGGAAGAAATCCTACTGTGTAACATGCAATGAAATGGGTATAGAGTACCATGTGAAAACATTCTTTCTTAATTTTACTCTGGAGTTTCTTTTTTTCTTCTTTTTTTTTCTTTTCTTTTTTTTCTCATTGATTTCTTTATCGTGACAACAAAGTTTGCATTTGTCCAAAGACTAAAATGGGATGATTTATGAAACTCATATAAAGGCTTTTGCAACCACATTGTTCTCCTATTAAAGCTGCATTGCATGCAATGGCATGAAAGAAACTGGTCTAATATATATATATTTTTTGATATCCATCAAGGAAATGAAGCTTAGATAACAGTAGGTATGATTATCATGCACAATTGTCAGTATAGTTTTAATTACAACATATATAAATGGGTTGTAAATATTTAACTTTATTTACTGTTTTATGGTCTTTGATAGTAAAACAAAGTTGGATGGAAAAGTCAATACTATGAGGTGAGACAGGTAGGTATCATTTACAAAAATGTGATTATTTAAAAGATAAGTGTCCCTTGTCTAGATCAGTGAAAAGAAAAATTAGTTAAAATTTTATGGTATACTGATAATGTAATCACTAATGACATACGTAAATTTTATTGAAAATATTTCAGTGAAGAACAGAAATAAAGCTTAACACAATGTATCATGATGATCCAGTAATGACAACAGAAGCAACTCATGAAATGCATTAAAATGTAAAAGGAAATTATGAGCTTGAAATGAGGGAAAAAATCGAGAACTCATNATTATTATTAAACATTACTATTATTGATTCATTAGTATCTTATTTAACGTTTAGTCTTTTTCTCTTTAATGTTACTATCATTATAATCATTATGCTTATTAGCTATTTACTGTTTATGATGCTTATCATTATCATCACCATCATTTTCATCATTATCATCATCAACTTCAATATCATCATTATAATTATATTATTTTGTTACTACTGCTACTTTTACTATTATCATTATTATGATTATCCTCATCATTGCCATCATCATCCTTACTTTTTATCATAATAATCATCATCATTATTACTATCATTATCATTATAATTATCATTAACCTTATCAACATCATAATTATCAATTGAATTATTGTTATCTTTATCATGATTATCAATGTAATTAGTATAGCTGTTATCATTATCATCCTTTTTTCATTTTCATTATTATTATTATTATTATTATTATTTTATATTATTACTATTATTATCACTTATATTATTATTATCATCATTGCCATTATCATTATTGATATTGTTATTACAATTACTATAATCAAAGTTACAAATATCATTTTCATCATACTACATATATTATTATCATAATTATCGTATTATTATCCTTATTTTTATTGTTGTTATGCTAAAATCAGTATCATTATTATCATACTTATTGTTTATCAGAGAGCGAGAGAGAAAGAAAGAAAGAAGAAAGAAAGAAAGAGATGAGAAGAGAGAGAAGAGGGAAGAGAGAAAAGAGAGAGAGAGAGAGAGAGAGAGAGAGAGAGAGAGAGAGAGAAGGAGAGAGAGGAGGAGAGAGAGAAGAGAGAGAGAGAAGAGAGAAGAAAGAGAAAGGAAAGAAAGAATGAAGGAAAGAAGAAGAAGGAAAGAGAAAAAGAAAAAAAAGAAAAGAAAGAAAAAAAAGAAAGAAAGAAGAGGAAAGGGAAAGAGGAAAGGAAGAAGAAAGAAGGAAGGAAGAAAAAAAGAAAAAGAATGAAAGAAAGAAAAAAAAGAAAGAAAGAAAGAAAGAAGAAGAAAAAGAAAGAAAAAGAAAAAAAGAAAACAGAGAAGGAAAGAGAAAGAAAGAAAGAAAGAAAAGAAAAAAAGAAAAAAGAAAGAAAGAAAAAGAAGGAGAGAAGGAAAGAAAGAAAGAAAGAAAGAGAGAGAGAGAGTACACGCAATCAAAGAACCGTACAGCAGAGCCGTCAGCCCATCACTGGGAGTATGCTAATGGCGCGCGCTACTTTTTGTCTCTAACCCGGTCACGCCGCTCATACACGCTAATACGCACACATACGCTCACATGTGAACGTATAGACCTCACGTACACACATGCACGATGGAGGAGTATCATTTCTTGTTTTTTGCGAGAATCGTGTCTTTTTCTCACGTTATTTCGTCGTATATTTGCCGATTCCCACATTTAACTCGTTATTTTAAGATCTCGTTTTCTATAACTTGGTTTTCTCTTATTCTTCTCGTTTTCTATGAGATGATTTCTTATAAATTGAGAATTTTCTTGATTCTTTTTTTTATTGTTAACCTTTACACTTTTCCACTTCATTTCTTTCTTTATCTTTCTTTTCAAATTATTTTTTCTTTCACGTTTACTCTTCTTTCTCTCCATTCTCTCTGACCTCATTCTAGCGGCCACGCCCCTTGGAACAAACCTAAACAAAAGATTATTGAAGTCATGCTTCTATCTCTCTCACTCTCGTTCTTTCTTTTCCCTCTCTTTCTCTGGCTCTCTCTCTCTCTCTCTACCTATCTATCTCTCTGTCTTTCTCTCTCTCTTTCTTTCTCTCGCTCTCTCGTTCGCTCGCTCGCTTTCTCTCTTTCTTTCTCTTTCTCTCGATTTTCTTTCTCTCTCTCTCTCTCTCTCTCTCTCTCTCTCTCTCTCTCTCTCTCTCTCTCTCTCTCTCTCTCTCTATATATATATATATATATATATATATATATATATATATATATATATATATATATATATATATATATATATATATATATATATATATATATATATATATATGGTGTGTGTGTGGTGTGTGTGTGTGTGTGTGTGTTGTGTGTATGTGTGGTATATATATATATATATATTATATATATATATATATATATATATATATATATATATATGAAACTGTATGTTTTATCTTGCACATATGTTTCCCCGTTTCCTTTCCTTTGTCTTTTCCTGACTCACGCTCCCTCGGCCCCTCGTTCCCGCGTTCGTGAACCTTCCCTCCCTCCTTCCTCCGCCTTTAGCTCCAAGCACAATTAAAAACCGAAAGTCGAGCGCCAACCTTCAAAACACCTTCATTGTTCTTCTGCAGGTTGGAGGTGGGGGGGGGGGTGGCGTTCTTCTGCAGGTTGGGGGGGAGGGGGGTGGGGTTGGCTCCTACCCGACCCCAGCCAACCGTCGGTTACTATTTTTAGCAAAGTCATAAGGGAAACAAGTCTCGGTTGCGTCATTCGTGTGTGTTGCAATAGCTTTTTTTTTTTTTTTTTTTTCTTATATCGTTTATACTTTCTCTGGTCTGTTCTTTGCTTGTTATAATTTGGTGTTTTTAATTTTCTTTTCTCTTTTTCTTTTCCTTTTTTTTATAGCTTTTGAAGTTTTTCGTGTGTTCAATAAAATACTAACCTAATTTTCTCCTTTTTAAAAGATCATTACTATTTTATAGAAAATATGAGCAACTTCCTGGTATATCAATTTGCCATTATATACTTTAACAAACAAACATTTAAGCACATGAACACGTATACACACACACACACACACAACAGTATATTGCAATGCATATATATGCATGTTGTGTGTATGTGTGTGTGTGTGTGTGTGTGTGTGTGTGTGTGTGTGTGTGTGTGTGTGTGTGTGTGATATATATATATATATATATATATATATATAGAATATATATATATATATATATATATATTATATTATATATATATATATATTATTATATATTTATATAATATGTGTTATATATGCATATGTAATATATATATATATATATATATATATATATATATATATATATATATATATATATATATAGTTTATATATATATATATATATACACACATATATATATATATATATATATAGTATATATATATATATATATATTATATATATAGATATAGATATAGATATAGATATAGATATAGATATAGATAAATAGATATGTATATATAATATATATATATAATATATATATATATATGTATAATATATATATATATATATATATATAATATATATATATATATAATATATATATATATTATATGTATATATATAAGTATATATGTAATATAATAATTACATATGTATATATATATAATATATTATATATTATATATATAATATATATATATATAATATATAATTATATAAAATATTTGTGTGTGTGTGTGTGTGTGCTGTGTTGTGTTGTGTGTGTGTGTGTGTGTGTGTGTGTGAGTGTATTTACAATTACATGCTTACATACCTACATAGTAAATGATACATAAACAGACATATCAAATTTCTATACAAAAAAGACAAGGCGAAATTGATAAGCATGGAAGAGTGAACTGAAGTAAAACGGTAGTCAGTTGGTTTTATGACTTACCTGCTTCTTTCGAGGGAAGGGGGTGGGGAGGGAAGGGGAGGAAGGGGGAGGGGAGAGCAGCTCATTTCCGGGTGGTCATAAACCCTTTGACGAGGGGAGGGGGGGAGGGAGAGGGAGGGGTGGGGGAACTGTCACTTTGATCCTTATGTCACGTTTTCTCGATCTATGGCACTCTCTCTCTCTCTTTGGTGCTCTCGTTTTGTCGTTTTAGCACCGAATTCTCTCCTCTCTCTCTCCTCTTCTCCTCTCTCTCTCTCTCTCCTCTCTCTCTCTCATATTATATATATATATATATATATATATATATATATTAATATATATATAAATATATCTATCCTAGCCTATTTTTCTCTTCTCTCTCAAATTCTCGCTTTTTCTGTTTCATCAATTTATCTAATCTCTCTTCTATTTCTTCTCTCTTCTCT